CCTCTGCCAGGCGAGTGCCGGGCAGCGTGCCGGGCCTGCCTGCGGGGCAGCTGGGCTCACTGGCCCCTTGGGCCCATACGTTCTCCCTCCCTGACACCCCGCAGCCGCCACCTCCTGCGCGGGGATGCTCTGCCGTACCCCCGCGTTACCCCTCTGCAGCCTGCGCTGCTGTGGCACTGCCTTTCCCCACACCCGCTGTAGCTGCTGCCCCGCGGGGAGCTCACACCGGCCCTTCCCCGGGGCAGCCGTGGGCAGCCGGAGCATCTCCCGTCCCGCTCCACCCGGTACCTGCGTGACGTCCCTGTGCCACGCTGTCTGCTGCCGCTTCTCGCTGCAGCACAGCCTGCACCATGCTGCTGCCCTCTCCTCCTCCTCCGCTGCTCCGGAGCCGTGTACACGCCACTTAACCTGCTGCCCCGTCATGCGGTGCTCCGCACTCCCCTGCCCTGCTGGGACGGGCACCCTGCGTGTCCCCGCTCTGCTGCACGCTCCCTTCACTCTTGGATGCCAGAAACGTGACCTCCTGCTTCTGCCTGGCGTTGGGCTTCTGTCTTCCCTCACCGCAGCTCCCACATGCCATCCAAACACGGCAGCACCCTCCAATTACTTTTTCCTCTTCCCCATGCATCCCTTTTTTCCTTCTAACCCCTTTCTTTTGTGACCCCCAAAGACAGGCCCTGGTGTTTCCCTGCATGCCCTTCCTATGCATCCATCCCTCTCCCCCCTGCCCTTTCCTTTGGTGCTCGCTGCCCTTGGCTTCGCTTTGTCCCTCTTCCCACCAGGTAAACAATCCTATTTGTCACCTGTCAGGTCCCTGTGACTCCCCCGATTAGCTGCTCGGAGGGGGGGAGGCAGGAGGGAGACGGTGCTGCAAGGCTCCCAGCTTCTCCCTCGCCCAGAGGGGCTGTGGGGGTTCACCCGCTCACCCCTTCCTTTCACCGACTGTTTTGCCATAGATCCGTGTCGTGTGGTTTGGGCTTCTGAGGCTGCAGGGACCCCGGTGTTTGGACCGCGCTGTGTTCACTGAGAAACTTGGAGAGAGGACTTGTGCTTTTCCAAGGATTTTTCCGCAGGAATTTTATTGGGTTCTGGTTTAGACAGAGTCTTAAGCGAGACCTGATCTACACAGGTGTAAATGAGCTGTAACCCTCTTGCGGGCGGTGGAATTAGACTGGATTTAACTGGTGCAGGTGGGAGAGGAGTCAAAGCAGTATGCCTCTCCCCTTGCCACGCGCATCCGTGTGAGGCACCGCGTTGTGTAGGAGCTCTGTGTTCGTTATTATTTTTTCAGTGGGTTGACCGTATGAGTCTCCCTTTCCCTCTTGAAAATGTTGCCCCAAACTTGTCACCTGGTTTTGTCTATGCCAGGGCACTTCTGCCACTGGTGTCTATGGCTCGGGTGTACTTTGGTGGCTCCCAAAGGAAGACATCAGCTCCCGTTCTGTTTGAACGGTTCCTTCTGGCATGAAATACCATAAACCCATGAACTGCCCTTTTCCAAATCCAGCATGTTGTTTTTACAAAGTTAATTTCAAAGAAAAATCCCATCAAAAAGTGCCAGCCTGCTCCCTGATCTTTTATGATCTTTCTTGCAAGGGAGATCGGGGCTCTTTGGGGCTTTTAGCCTACGTGAATAATTATTAGAAGATTATTTTCATGGAAAGTGATGACCATATGTATGTTCTTGCTGATTGCGAGTAGGCCACCGCAGCCTCCCTTAACTCATGAGCCTGGGGGAGTTTAGAAAATGGGTGCTGCCGCCTGCAAGAGGCTCGCTGCCGTGTTAACGTAGTGTGCCCTAAGTTCTTAAGAGGAGAGAGTAGTTCACACGCACTTGCAAACTTGGGTGCGCTTTTTAGCTCTGCTGTCATCAACCTTCCACACTGCCTCCTGCTCCGTGCCAGGTCCTTCAGCCTGGCCGCATTCTGCGCGGTCCCTGGGGAGGGATGCGGGTGCAGCCCCAGCGCTGGTGTCCGTGTCGTGGTGGGATCCACGGTGCTGGCGAGCAGCTGCGGGTCCATGGCATCGTGCAGGTGGTGTTCCACAAAACCTGCCAGGCTCGGGGTGATGCTCTGATTGAAACAAGGCAGAAGTTTGGGTTTACTCATTTAGGTTTTACTGCAGCTATAATAGAAAATATAACAGAAAATACAGGGAGAGTCGCCTTGGAAAGCGAGTCAGCTCCTGCAAAAGATGAGCCTGGAGCAGACGCAGGGGCCGGCTCTGCTGCGGAGCCTCAGCTGACGACATTCGTGACTTGACAGTCACATTTGTTTAACAAGAACAAAAGTTTTTCTCCCCCTTGTTGCTACGTGACAGACCCAAACAAACAGGAGGGTGACCGTACAAAGGCCAAAAACCTGCCAGGCTTTCCCAGGGCTGGGGGGATCGGATCTGCTGGCGGGGGGCACTGGGGCTCGGGGTGTTCCTGGAGCTGCTGCCCCAGCCAGGCTGGCTCTGCGCTGCCACTGCACAGTGTAAACAGACTAAAAATAGCGATGGTATGATTCTCACCATCAGCTGCAGTCATTTTGGATGGGCTTTCTGTATATCTCTCCCTCCAAATGGCTATATTCCTAATATCCGGCCTCTGCAATTGCATTTGGGTTTTTTTCCTGGCATTACTTGGTTCTTGCAGATTGTAAACAGAGCAGCT